ATTATTTATGCAATTAATTTGCCAAAGAATTAAAGAGAACTGTTTATGCTCCAAATGTATTTATGGTTGGCTCTAAAGATTAATATTATTATTTGTTTTAGACCTCATTAAATTTTTGAACTAAAAGATTTGATAGGCTTATGATAAGTTGAAAATATTAATTATTGAAGATAATGTATTGGATTTTTTTTAAATATATATGGACAAACTCGTATTTTTAATGCTGTCTACCTAAGAGGGAAATCGTGAGGAATTAAAAAAGGGAAACTAAGGTTATGATCGTGTAATGGAAATAAAAAGAGAGAACGAAATATTGGGTATCTATTAAATACATTTAAGAAGAGCAAAATAGATATTTTTATATATATTTTTGGAAATGATTTTTGATCCGATTACATTATGTTTAGATACACTTCATTTGATGATTCATTAAAACAAATTTGATAAGGCAAATATTTAAAATAATAAGATATTTAAAATTATCTATAAGAGTCAAGTGTTATATTTACAGTAATAAAAATTGACAAGCTTCAAAAAAGTAATTCCCTAAGCAAAATAAAATCAAAGATCTGGAATATCTTATGGATTAGAAGGCATGGCATTTGAGTGAAAACTTAAAAGTATTTCTTAAAATTAGGAGATTAAACAAAATGTATAATAAAATTGAAGGGCTATTATAATAAAAAATTAATTTTGAGGTATTATTTTATGAAAAATTATAAAAATTAATTAACATATTTGGAGTTTTTAATATTCAATGTAAGAAAACGTTTAATATATAGAGATATAAGTCTATAAAATATGCTAATAATTAACTTGATAATTCATATCTTTTTTTTCAAATTTAAATTGTCATTCCAAACAAATTTTTATAATGGATTATCATAATATAACTGAATTTGCTTTTTTTCTTTCTTCTATATATTTTTTAAATGGGAATAATATGCCTATTTACCTTAATATAAAATGTCAACTATTAAAGTAAAGCCCATTATGAAACAAAACAGAGCTATATGTAACCATCCATATAATAAAAATTAATCCTCATTTAATTCTAAACTGTAGACTAAGAATGATCCTGTAATTAACAAAAATATGACTTCTCTAAACAACAATTTTATTAAATCAAAATTTGATTTAATAGGTCGAAAGAAGATCAAATAGATTAAATAAAATAATGACTGCATGGAAAGTAATATTGATTATGCTTCAGGATATCTTATGAATTCTACAATAATTGCGATATAAAAAACTGTTCTATATATTTGAAAAGGTTTGAAATTACTTGCCCAAAATTCAATTTTTGAATCTTAAAAAAAATACCTCCATTTTTATTTATCTTTAATTTATGAAGTTGTGATAGATAGTAACCTAAAAAATATTTAAATGAGGAATAATAAACTTGTTAATGCAACTATGCTATTAATTATCTCAAAAATAGAATTGAAGGTATATTCAGGAAATTATAATAGAGTACTAAATACTAACTAATGAAGTGTTGAATAAAATAATTAATAAATTCCTTAAGAGAAATAATAGTTTTTAACTTTGGAACATTTTGTTTGAATTCTTTTTTAAAAGATTGAAATTAGGCGAAGAACTTTCATACTATCTTTATTTTTTTCAAAACTTTTTCCCACCCATTATGATACCTTTATTGAAGATATTAGACAACACATAAAATAAGTTAGCAATGATAATAAGTAAGAAAAGTAACATCCCTTAGCATTCATTAAATAAAATTAATTCAAAACATCAATTTGTTTTGATTGTTGCGATTTCTTTCTAAAATATGGAAGAGTACCTCCATTAATTTTAGCTATAATTTCATCAACCTTTAAACTATCTAAAATTGGTTATAAAGAAATTTTTGTATAAGTTTCAAGAAATTAAGTTAAATGAGGAGGAAATTTATATTGCATATATCTAATGTAAGATAGTGATTATAGTAAGTCTAATAAATTGAAAAACACAATGTAATTACCAGTTAATAATAGAATTACAGAAATACTAGTTGATGAATAAACCATAGCATCATTCATTTTGATAACTTAGATTACTCTTTTCTATGTAGCTGCTGATAATATGATCGGAGTTCCTAGAGGTAGTTGTTTTGAATTAGTACTTAAATCCAAATCAAACTAATTAAAAATACAAAATTTCTATATTGAAATTTCTAAAATTGGATCTACAACAGGCTCCAAAAGTTCAATATTAATTTGATAAATAGGATTACTTAACTAAGAAGTAATGTTTATTAATGGAATAATAGTTAGTTCATATTAAGTTTATGGAATGATCATAATATCTAATGCATAGTCAAAAAGATTTTCGCATGATATATATACTTCTTATGAAAAACTTATGTCAATTATTTTTGTTTTATTACTTTTTTCAGAAAGTAAAATTAAATTGAAATTTGGTGCTTGAATAAATGTGCAAATACTTATAGAGTTTTCTTGATTAAGACATTTAAAAGAATCTTCTTAAAAACATGAAGCTGAACATCCATCTCCTCCATCATTATTTCCATCATCACATTATTCAAAATGGCTATTAAGTATTCCATTGCCACATAAATTAATACATTAATTATTGAAAAATGCTTAATTCTGATTACATTATACAATTAATTAATCATTATCATTTAATTCCTGTTTTAGTTCTGAATTAATAATTTACTTAAGTTATTCGCACTTAAAATTTTAAGTATCTAAATTATATTATTAGTCTTCACATTATACACATTTATTATCTTTCTCACATTGAATACATCCATAAGAACATTAGTATTGACATTCAAAACATCCATCATAAGGGATATCATTACCATCATCGCATTATTCAAAAAGAAGAGTAATTATATTGTCTCCACAAATCGGTAAACATTTCCCTTCCTTAATCTCATAAGGATGTATACACTATTCACAATTTTAAAACTTATCACAAACCAAGCAATCATGATCACATTAATATTTACAATCAACACAATTAAGATCTTCAGGATCATCACATTATTCTTTAGATAAAGTAGCCAATAGTCCATCTCCACAAATTTATATACACTAATACTCTTGAAGTTACCATCCTTCTTTGCATATATAGCATTTATTTTCANAGAAATACTAGTTGATGAATAAACCATAGCATCATTCATTTTGATAACTTAGATTACTCTTTTCTATGTAGCTGCTGATAATATGATCGGAGTTCCTAGAGGTAGTTGTTTTGAATTAGTACTTAAATCCAAATCAAACTAATTAAAAATACAGAATTTCTATATTTAAATTTCTAAAATTGGATCTACAACAGGCTCCAAAAGTTAAATATCAATTAGATAATTAGGATTACTTAACTAGGAAGTAATTTTTATTAATGGAATAATAGTTAGTTCATATTAAGTTTATGGAATGATCATAATTTCTAATGCATGTTCAAAAAGATTTTCGCATGATATATATACTTCTTAAGAAAAGCTTAAGTCAATTATTTTACTTTTATTACTTTTATCAGAAAGTAAAATTAAATTGAAGTTTGGTGCTTGAATAAAAGTGCAAATACTGATAGAGTTTTCTTGATTAAGACATTTAAAAGAATCTTCTTAAAAACATGAAGCTGAACATCCATCTCCTCCATCATTATTTCCATCATCACATTATTCAAAATGGCTATTAAGTATTCCATTGCCACATAAATTAATACATTAATTATTGAAAAATGCTTAATTCTGATTACATTATACAATTAATTAATCATTATCATTTAATTCCTGTTTTAGTTCTGAATTAATAATTTACTTAAGTTATTCGCACTTAAAATTTTAAGTATCTAAATTATATTATTAGTCTTCACATTATACACATTTATTATCTTTCTCACATTGAATACATCCATAAGAACATTAGTATTGACATTCAAAACATCCATCATAAGGGATATCATTACCATCATCGCATTATTCAAAAAGAAGAGTAATTATATTGTCTCCACAAATCGGTAAACATTTCCCTTCCTTAATCTCATAAGGATGTATACACTATTCACAATTTTAAAACTTATCACAAACCAAGCAATCATGATCACATTAATATTTACAATCAACACAATTAAGATCTTCAGGATCATCACATTATTCTTTAGATAAAGTAGCCAATAGTCCATCTCCACAAATTTATATACACTAATACTCTTGAAGTTACCATCCTTCTTTGCATATATAGCATTTATTTTCAGAACAAAATAAACATTCTATTTAACAACTTTATTAACATTTATAACAACCATCAAACTGGATTCTATTCTCATCATCACATAGTTCTTATGATAATTTAATTCCATCCTAACATTTAGGAATACATTGTTTTTTATGAAAATCTAATTCATATTCATTTTGGCATTCCAAACATTTTCCAAATTATTCCACTTTACAATTATTAATTAACTAAAATTTTGATTAATTATTATGTTGATATCCAAATACTCTAAAACTTATAGTATTCAAATCATCATTAATTTATTATATACTTTAATATTGATTATTAAACTGTGTTCTATAATAATATTATTCCTAACTCATAAAGAAATTGAAACACTCCACTTATTCTTCCATATAAGTGTTATCTAAATAATCAGAAATAGATTAACATTAACCTTCTAAAAGTAGATATGAATTTCCACACTCCAAACATTTTCCAAATTAGCATACACTACAATTTTTAGAGCAAGAGTATTTGCATTAGTGACATCCATCATAAGCTAATAAATTACCATCATCGCATTCCTCATCATATGTAATGATAGCATCTCCACATTAAGGTATACAAGATTTTATTTATTCTAAAAATTACCATCCAATTAAACAATCATAACAAATTCCTTTAATACAATTTTCACAACCTTAACTACAATCATAATTATTTTAAAAGCATCCATCAAAAGGAACTATATTTTTATCCATGCACCCTTCATTACTAAGAAATAATTAAAAATCTCTCATTCCAATATATGTCGGCATATTGTTATGTAATTTAAGTAAATCAACTTTTATATCAATTTTTAACCTTTAACCATGATGTTAAAATAAAAATAGATTAATCTCCTACATAGAAATCTCATAACAAATATTACCGTCTAATTCTAGTTATTCGTAAACATAATCAATTGTAAGTACTTAACTCTCATCAATATAAATATGAATTTTAGTTGATTAAGAATTAAAAATTAAAAGTTTTAGTTAGAAGCTTATGGCAACATGTAAGTTTAAGTCAAAGATTTTAAACATATCCTTACCAAAAGTATCTATGTAATTAAATCCTTAATAATAATATGTTATATACCTAAGCAATTTTTAACTGTGTTATCTCCATGCTACCATCCTTCATCTGGATTAATAATGGAGAATTCTTTTTAAGAAAAAAGTTACAAAAACAATACTTAATTAAAACATCCATATGAATTACATGAATTGCACCCTATTGAACATTCAAAAATTGATAATTGGAATTCTGTTATTCCCCAATTATAATTTTGAGCTAACATAGCCACAGTGACTGAAGAACTTATGTGTTGAATTGTAATAGAAATAGGGAAAATCAGATATTCATCACTCTTTTAGCATTTATTTTCATAATTAGAGTTTTAATATCTCTATTAGTGTTCGATTTTACTATCTATATAAACAATAAATTTAAAATTTTATTGGAAATATGATCCATTAAAAAAAGGCAAATATGGTGTGTAATTTTAGGATAAACTTTCTTAGGATTGCTTAATAAATTTAAAATCTAATTTCAATTAGTAGTGAGGTTAGAGCTCGAATGTTTTGTAAAGCAAATACTGATATGATTGAGATTATTGTACGAATATGGCTTTATAAGAACCACAATCTTCTTCTTCTGTAAATGTCTTCTAATCATTTTATTGATTCATATAGGCTTTCCAGGCTTAAATTAAATAATTTTTATTGTTACTCTCTTAATATTCACTAAAGAGATCCTTGTAAACTATCTTTTATTATGTGGAAATTTTGATAAGACTAAAGATTATGAAAATGGAGATTAAATTCAACCATTTGGGCTAAAAAGTAAAAGTATGGATATTAAAATTAACTCCATTAATACCTTAGGTAGTATGCAATGATTTGTCAAACATGTAATAAAAATATTAAAAATTTATACACATTATTTAAGATAAATAATTTTCTATACATAAAATTCCAAACTTAAAATTAATATTTATAATTCTACATAATGAAACTAAAAGACTCAGAGTCTTAATTCTTAAAGAATATTTAACTCATTTACTTTAAATCATACAACAATAATATTGTAAATATATTTAAGATGTACATTTCAAGATACATTTTTAATTATAAAATAATAATAATTTTAATATATATGGATATTAATTAAAAAAATAAATACTATACAAAACAAAAAAGAATCAGATGTAATCATTTTGAAAATAAATACAACACATAAAACTCAATAAAATACTAATTACTTTATATCAAATCAAATTGATGGATAATTTGCATTTAATAATATCATTTCATAAACCCCATCTCAAATCATCCATGTTTCTTAAGAAATTTGGAAGAATAAAGTACAAATATATCTTAGTATTTAATAATTTTTTAATTTCACTGACTAAGTTATTAATGAATTTGAAAAAGAAGTTCCAATAGCAGTTATTTCAAAAGTTGTAAAAAATACTGCTACCATTATTATTAGGCTTTTTTTAGAGGGAAATTATCTCAATTTAGATTTGCTCTTGCAACTTTTGGAATTTTTATCAATCAATCACCATTGTATAAGTAGCTATTTTGAATTTATTATTAATTTGACATTTTAAAAAGATAAATGGAATTGATAATTAAATGATAAATATGGATATATATAAAGTCAGAAAAATGTAAATTAATAATTTTAAAAATTGATAACAATCAAATATATGATGATAAAATAAAAAAATTTAGTTCATTAATATTATATGAAAAAATATTATAAAAATTATGTTATATATAATTTCAATCAAAATTATTCAATTTAATTATATTGGTTAATTTATGGAAATTGTATAACAGACAATACAGCTGATTGTAAATATACTGATTTCTAAATTTTTTGAACAAGCAATGTAACCTTAGAAAGGTGTGGATTCCAGGCTAAAAACTTATTAATGGGACCCTATTGATTTTAAATAGTAGCGACCTAGACATTTCTAAATATTCCCCTAATAATTTAATTGGATTCTAAGTTGGTATTTGAAAATTAGACAGAAGGATTTGAGATATATACAAATGAGGTGTAAATAGACAATTTAATTTTGAATTTAAATGAAGGTGAAATGATATTTAGAAGTGATGCTTGGTAATATTTACTTTAACCTCTTTCATTAAAATTTTAAATAACCGGAACTGATTTAACAATAAAGTTAAATCAGAATCTAAACTCTAATTCTTGATATGAAGATCTTTGGGATGGTATAAATTGAATAATTTTCTAGAATCATTGGGATTTAGAGACTGTATTTTAAGACTCGCTATTTCCTGTGTTAATTTTTAGTGTAAATGTAATTTACACTGGAACATTTTTTTAAATATGTTAAGGTGAGCAATCAAAATTACAAAACTAAATCCCTTTTTGAAATAAAAGCAATCTTTATGGATCCTGGTATTATTGTTTAATTTAAAGGCCGAAACAATTTTGCAGAGTATTATAAGAGTTCACTTCTTCATAGTCTTGTTTGAATTGTTACAAGTTATTCATTTACTCACTAATTTTTAGTTTCCAAAAGTTCTTTATGAGGAATGATTAATAAAAATAAAAATATTTAATATCAATCAATTTTGTATAAAAAGTGTTTCAATTTTGATAAATATTTAATTAAAAATTTTTTTTGATTATAAGTAAAAGATTCAATAAATAGTGAAAAAGATTTATTATCAAAAATCTAAAAATCCATATGGTTTATTTATCTGCTAATCAAATCTAATTGATATATCTTACTTTCCATAAAAAATGAATTTACCTCTATTATTTATTCCTATAAAATTCACAATTCATTCTATTATTTCGATCAGCAAATAGTCTGAATATGTTATAATCCCCATTAACTTATCCAAACTTTTTTTATTATGAATAAATGAATTCTGATAAAAGATATAAAGATTTTCTTACCCAATTTACAAAATAGCCTTAAATGATTCAATTGTTATAAGGTTGTAATTATTAGTCATATTTATAGTTAACTCTATAGTTACATCTCTTGTTATTGCTCAACATCTTCATTTTGAGGCATATGGTGCTCTGATATTTAAAGGAGAATTTATTATTCAATCAAATTTAGATTTAAAGATGTTATTACAATAAAGAGGAAGTTTCATTTTAGAAGACTAAATATTGTTAAGATATAATTGATTATATTAAATATATGTGAGACAAAAGTACGATATCAATTTATTATACTATTTTAGTTTTTGAGAGTAATTTATATTATGAAACCAAGTATGATACTGGAAATATTTGATTTCAAAACTAGTTTTTCAAGTTTTAAAGCCCTCAATATTTTATTCAAAGGAGTGTTAATCTTGAAAGGAGAATTTATAAATTTTGAGATTTGTTATAATTATTTATAACTAAAAGGAGTTTAATTTTAATAAAATGGAACTATTCTAACTCAAAAAAAAATCATTACTGAAAATAAGATTTTACAGTTTTGATATAAGGAAGATTGATTAGGAATGATCATTTTTAAGGTTATCATTTATTTCTCTTTAATCATGGAAAAACTAAATAAAAGAAATAACAAAGTTCTCAAATAATTCAAGATCTTGATTTTAATTAAAAGAGTTACCCCATTTAATAAAATGAAGAAATCAAATAAGTTTACTCACAAAAAATTTTAGGATAGAAGATCATAAAGAGTTAAAATTTTTAGTTCGTTTTACTGATTCAGAAAAAATATGAAAAACTTGAAAATCAAATTTGCTTTATCTGTTAATTGAAAAGATGGATTTGAAATTCCATCCATTGAAAATATTAAAAGTGGAAATATTTCATAATATTTGCAATTGTCATTTGATTGGATCTGAACTTGGCAATTCACATATTAGAGGATTGTATTTGGATGGACGCAAATTATTTAATTGTAAAAGGAGAAATTTCCCTATAAATTAGGGAATGGAATGAAATGATCATGATGATTATGTCAATTCACGCCTGCTTTTGGACTGATTCATTAATGAATATCAAATAGTAATGATAATTCCATTTATTTTTAGATTGAAAAAGAAAAAATAACTTCAGTATTAATCTCACAGTATTAGCTTATATTTGTGGCTAAATTTTTATATATGGAATTTAAAAACTAATGTGTGTATAAATAGATTACATATGTATATTAGTTTATTCAGTTTATTTTTTTTCTAATAGTTCTAAATTAGTATCTTGTAGTGTTATTGTTATTTTGTTTGTTTCAATTTTAGAAGGGATTTATACTTAAAGAATGATTATTCGTTTCCTTATTCAATTTACTCACTGCTATAATACTTTTTTTGTTGTTGTCAATTTAACCAATAAAATTTCTTAGTTTTAACTTTTAAAAATCAAAAATTTATCTCTTCCTTTTCTTTTTTCCTTTTATTAGTATACTCTTTACCAGCGTGTTGGTTATAACTTCCTGAAGCCTTTGGCATTTACAAATTCCTATCATATATCAACATGATTAGATTCAAATCTTTGTATTCTTCTTTCGAGCCTTTTCTTTTTGTAGTTAATCTCTGTCATCCATCTTAAATTCGGAACAGTCAATGTTTAATTCTCCTTCTCTCCTTCTAGATATTATGTTATTTTGATCCAAATCTTTTATGAATCCTTACCAAAGTTTATTAGTCCAGCCTCCAATAATTGTTTTTTCATCTTATTATTTGCATCATATTTCCAAAACACTTCAACCATAAATCAGGTATTGATAATTAATTATATTTCAGTAACTTAGATGAAAATTTACAGAATGTGTTCTTCTTTTAATAATCCCTCATAATTTTATATTAAGTCGCTATATAGTAGATTCAAAACTAGAATCAATCTATCTCTCCCTTATACCAAGATTCCATTAAGTAGTAGAACATCGCTTTGTCTCAATTAGCTAGATAACATGATCAATTTGTTTCTTCATTCATTAACTATTAGCAAAACCTTATTTTTTCTTAATATTTTGTTGCCAGAATTTTTCATTTCTCTTTCTAATAATATTATAAACCTCTATTTAACCTCTTCTATTTTTTGATTCGTCTAAACTTCTTCTTCATCTGATTATATAGATATCTAAAACGTTGAAGTAAATCTTCATTTGATAGAAGGATGGGAAATGGATAGAAAAACAGAAAATAATCAAAAAGATCTCCATTTCGTAATCTTAATTTAACAGTATTAGTTAAAATGAGATCTCAGAAAAGAGTTAATGATATAGAATTAGGTATAATTGTATCTAGAATTAGATGAAGGACAATATAGGTAATTGAGGTTTTTTAAATCTAGCATTTCGAAAAAGCACTATTAAGATTAATATGGAATATAAAGAAAAGCTTTATTGGTTAACTTTAGATCAGGTTGACTTTAAATTATAACTTTAGCTGCAATTGAAGAAAAAAAAAATCAAGATTCATTTCTGTGTTAATGTGTTTCCTAAGCTAATATCCTTTAAGTTTTCATATTTTTTATAAGTTTTATTTGTAAAATCCTTTGTATTTTTGTCTTCAGTTCTCTAAAAATATAACAATAGTAAAAATATTATATAAATAAAGTTACTTAAACCCAATGTTGAGATGTTTCCACTCTAAGGTTAAATACATTCCAAGGATTACAAATTTTATTACTTAGAATCATTCATAATTTTATCCTTATAGTTTTCTTTTTTCTTTTCTTATTTTTATTCTTAATTTAATCGGATGATGAATTGGAATTTTTTCTTAATTAGAAATTCACCCTTCCAGATTTGATATTGATACTAATATTATCTGTAGGTTTCATTTTATTTTAATAAATTCATCCTTCAATTAACTTGGGATAGCAATTAAGTTCTAATAATTATTTATATTCTCCTTTTGAAAGCAAGCTTGATTTAAAAAGGTATGTAAATAAATATTTCAAAATTAGTAAATATTCTGAATATCATCGAACAGTGAAAAATACTACCTATTTCAAGGAGTTGCCTAATACTTATAACAGTGTTATTAAGTCAGGTTTGGCTATAGATTCTAATGAAATCTTATAAACTTACTGTATACGACCTTTCCACTTTGAATTGAATTTAATTTCTTAGGATCAAGTCTTGGATTTAAAACAAAGCCATTTGATATCTTTTTTTATTGAGGATTTATGATTTGTTTATTTAATAGGTGAGCTGGCAATTAAAATAAAATATATTTCAGTTCCTCACGGAAAAAAAAAAGTACAGGAGACTTATCAAAGTTTCAAAATTATTATTAGAGTATTAATAAAGAACCTAATCAAAATGTAAATTTTTTTTTTGAATTTCTACCAGAATTATTAATTAAATAACAGATAATCGAATTACGGCAGAAGAAAAATCTATTCTATGCTTTTAGAATAAATAATTTTATTATGCATAAACGACTTAATGAAGATCTAATGGGATCCCTCTCTCACAATTGCTATAACATTAAAATTCTTATTCATTGCTTAATAAAGATGAACCTTTAAAATTAAATAAGAATATAAAGGTATTATTATTCTAATTAAAAAATTATCCACTAGCTCAGTGAAATAAAAAAATTTAAATATTACCAGAAAGACTAATAAATTCTGAATATCTTCTCTAATAGACAGATATTATTAAATAAGATTCCTATAAGGAAATAATTTCATCAAGTAATTGTTTAGGTTGGCTGTTAATATTTATAAAATCATTTTATATTCCTTCATTATATTTATGACAAATTTTCGAAATGAATCTGCTTCACAGAAATTTATTTTTTTTATTTAATATCATTTTTCATTTTGTCTTAATTGTAAATGAAAGGTGATTAAATAATAGTCTCATCAATTCAAGCCTTTTACCCCTTATATCTCTAAAATGGATGGCCTATATTTGATGGTTCTTCTAAACTTGTTAAGCCGTTTTAAATGATACTCTAATCCATAATCCTAAGAAATATCTAATCAAAGTTCGATTATAAGAGAAAGAAATATTTAAAACTCTTTTTAGATAATTTTCTGAATTGTGTTACCTGGTTTCTGNAGGTATGTAAATAAATATTTCAAAATTAGTAAATATTCTGAATATCATCGAACAGTGAAAAATACTACCTATTTCAAGGAGTTGCCTAATACTTATAACAGTGTTATTAAGTCAGGTTTGGCTATAGATTCTAATGAAATCTTATAAACTTACTGTATACGACCTTTCCACTTTGAATTGAATTTAATTTCTTAGGATCAAGTCTTGGATTTAAAACAAAGCCATTTGATATCTTTTTTTATTGAGGATTTATGATTTGTTTATTTAATAGGTGAGCTGGCAATTAAAATAAAATATATTTCAGTTCCTCACGGAAAAAAAAAAGTACAGGAGACTTATCAAAGTTTCAAAATTATTATTAGAGTATTAATAAAGAACCTAATCAAAATGTAAATTTTTTTTTTGAATTTCTACCAGAATTATTAATTAAATAACAGATAATCGAATTACGGCAGAAGAAAAATCTATTCTATGCTTTTAGAATAAATAATTTTATTATGCATAAACGACTTAATGAAGATCTAATGGGATCCCTCTCTCACAATTGCTATAACATTAAAATTCTTATTCATTGCTTAATAAAGATGAACCTTTAAAATTAAATAAGAATATAAAGGTATTATTATTCTAATTAAAAAATTATCCACTAGCTCAGTGAAATAAAAAAATTTAAATATTACCAGAAAGACTAATAAATTCTGAATATCTTCTCTAATAGACAGATATTATTAAATAAGATTCCTATAAGGAAATAATTTCATCAAGTAATTGTTTAGGTTGGCTGTTAATATTTATAAAATCATTTTATATTCCTTCATTATATTTATGACAAATTTTCGAAATGAATCTGCTTCACAGAAATTTATTTTTTTTATTTAATATCATTTTTCATTTTGTCTTAATTGTAAATGAAAGGTGATTAAATAATAGTCTCATCAATTCAAGCCTTTTACCCCTTATATCTCTAAAATGGATGGCCTATATTTGATGGTTCTTCTAAACTTGTTAAGCCGTTTTAAATGATACTCTAATCCATAATCCTAAGAAATATCTAATCAAAGTTCGATTATAAGAGAAAGAAATATTTAAAACTCTTTTTAGATAATTTTCTGAATTGTGTTACCTGGTTTCTGTACAGCTTTAGATTAGGCTTGCTTTCAAGAATTACACACTGGAAAAGATTCAATAGATGAAAAGGAGGAAGACCAAAAAGGAATAAGAAAAGTTACTAACTAAGTTAGTACATAAATTAGATGATCATTTTATGTAGATTTTAAGAATTAATATCAATAAGAAGAAATTGTTAGTGCTAGTAAAAATCTAGTTTTCAATTATGTTTGTTTAATTTTAAAGTTAAGACACGGATGTAAATGTAGCAATAGTTATTAAAAGAAGTCATAACAGAATTTAATTTAAAATCGAGATTAACCATTGGACATTTTCAGAAGCACCCTTAGACTTACATCAGGATAATTTACTTAAATAAGAGTTATTTAAGAAGCTGATAGGTATATTATAAAAATTATTTGAATAACAATTAGCTAAGGCTAAGAGAATTGGTATGATGTATATTCGCTAAGATCTTAATTGAAAACTTGTACTTTGAATGTCATTAGAATGTATAAAGGATATAGAACTTTTAGGTTCGACACAAGTGTTTAAATCAAAAGCAAGAATGGACTATCCTTTAGAATCATTGATAGATTGTAAAGTTAAGAAAACTAATTGAATAAATTTGAAGGAATTCAAAGTTAGAAGTTTAATAGGGTCAACTAGGTTGGTCTAAGCTAGTAGCTTAGTAAAAAATTTGGATAGACTTGAAATATTATCATCAAAACAAATATAGAAGCATCATATCTTCGCAGAATAATCTGTTATTATCTACACTAGATATTGTTTTTATATAAAATTGTAAATTTTTTTCTAA